GTCAAACACCCCTACCTTTCTAAAGCTCCTTGTTCATTGCTATCATTCTCCGTCTTACTTAATTCTTTCAATATAACTTACCATACACTTTACCAGGTACACTCAACAGACTTATCCCCTATAATTTTGCACTCTTTTTTCCCTTTGCCTTTATCAAAGGAATTGCATGTTTGCCAACCCCTTGGGAACCTTACCCTCTTCCATACATTTTTTAAAATTGCACCACCAAACTAAAAAACTAATATATTTTATATAATTATTTATATATATATGTCGTCCCGAATATGTAAAACTGGTCAATTAGCAAGAACTCATTTAAAATTAGTCCTTCTAAAATTTTTCTATCTTTGAAGAATTATTTTTCATTAGGGTTAATGTAAATTTTTAATTTGAAACCATAGAATCTTAGAAAATTACCTAACCTTATTATAACAAGAACAATTTATTTTAGCCTAACCCAACCCAAATAGATTTAGATTTGTTTAAAGAGTTAATTATATAATATAATATAATATTACTATATATATATTAATATATATATAAAATATATATGTTGTGTTGTGTGTGTGTGTGTGTTGTGCGAAAGGAATTCGCGATATCCAATACGTCAATGAAAACAGGGCAGTGCCATACAGTTGAAATAGTAGTTTAGCACCTTTGAAGACACAACATAAAAGAAAAATTTGAGTTTACCAGTTAGAGATAACAAAACATGCCTCACGAATCTCCCAGAATTTTATAACAGCTACGGAAACAAAATAAGAGAGAGAAGGATAGGTAGACCGTATCTTGACTAGAGGGCATATGACACATTACCACAAAGAAGTCTTGTGTACAAACTGTAAGAATAGTTTGGGGTTATAGTGAATATAGGCATACTTATCTATTGAATAAAAGGAAGAGGTTGATGAAAAATGAGATGGCGGGGTGAGCACCGGTGATGAGCTCCCGAAGGTCAGTCCTTGGACCCATGATTTTCGTAAATGACCTACCAGATTAAAATAAATATATATCACTGTTTAAATAAGATGCTACATTAATGACAAAGATGACAATCAGAGAGGCCAGGGAAAACCCCCCAAAAAAGACTTACAGGCTGTAAACACGGTGAGGAATGTACCTCCTCGAATTTAATCTCAATAAGTGCAAATTAATGAAAATAGAAGAGGGAGTGAAAAAGATCTGACACGGAATGCAACTTTTTACAGACATCATGCAAGTGATATGCACCAAGCATATCAACATGTTCATATAAATCACAAAACTTTATCCGCAGATGCAAAACTAGATAACCAAAGAACTACTTTCTGGAGCCTGAACTAAAATTTATTTAGGGCATTATACCGAACGTACGTTAGGTTCTTTTTGGAGTAGGCGGCTCCAATATGAAACCCGCACCTGATAGATAAATTATAAAAAAAAAAATATTAAGAAATTAAGTATGGCGATGAAAGTAAAGAAACTGGATTATGAAGAGAAACCTCAGGTCTAGCAACACTAGTAGATAGAAGGACCAAAGGAAAGATGACCATTAAATACAAAATACTCAAGAGGATTTGATAGTTTATTAGGTTCAGGATGTCTGAGGCACGCGGAGAGGGAGCCAAGATACAGAGGGCAGCTGAAGTCGCACACGAGACCCAAGGATGTTAAAGTTTAAAAACGAACTACAACAAGAGGTGGTAGGAAATGCTATACACAAGTTCAAGAGCATAAGGGATCGAGCCCTGAAAGCCAGGAATTGGTAAAAACCGGTTGATAACATTTAAAGACACGAGGCCAGGAGTTATGAATCGATCCCTACAAAAAATAACTGAGTAAACATACAATTAAATAAATCATAACTACAATCCTCTATTTTTGATAGGGGGGGGGGGGTCAAATTAATAAAAAGCAAGGCAAATGCAAGTTTTTTTTTCTCGATAAGTAACCACATCTGAATTTTCATGATTACATATAGCTTCTGGCACAATTATTCATTTCGGAGGATGAAAGCGTTGTTTAGAATAGCGACTTATTCTTGATAATAATAACCATTATCTGCAAACCTTGTTCAGGTCACCACTCCCCTGTAGTTCATGGCTGTTTGACATCAGAAGCCATGCTATTTTGGCCGAAATTAGCTGCATAACAGGCTATTTGGAACAGGAAAGAATATATTAAGAAAGTTACTTCATAGACCCAAATGATGGCATCAAGGCTTGCGTATTTCACGCGATGCATTTTATAATGAACAAAGGACGACCCCAACTAACAAATAATTTGCATTCCTGGGTTTTCACGTAATGACTTGTTTGCCCCCCCCCCCAAAAAAAAAAAAAGTAGCAGTACAAAGGAAAATAAATGTCAAAATATTGGAGCTGGAACAACTCACAAAAACCCATACTTTACATAAAACATGAAATAGCGTTTTGGTCCATCATGGACCATTATCAAGTGATTAGTTAATGGTCCTAGAAGGATTGAAACTTCGCGTTTCTTCTACTAGGTGGAAGCTAAATGTGAATAGTATAAAAGATGGTAATGTTGTACACAAGTTCCTAAAGCGGATCGGCGACTGTAAAAGTTAATTAGTTCTTAACTGTCACGTTCGTACGTGTTGGTGCGTGTGTATCCTAAGTGTGTGTGTGTGTGGTGTGTGTGTGTGTGTGTGTGTGTGTGTGTGTGTGTGTGTGTGTGTGTGTGTGTGTGTGTGTGTGTGTGTGTGTGTGTGTGTGTGTGTGTGTGTGTGTGTGTGTGCGCGCGCGCGCGCGCGTGTAAGTAACTTGGGGCATTCGTAAACGCGGTGAGATGTTAGTTTCTATAGCTCGTAAGAACTACAGCTTTTTTGAAAATCAACTGGTGAGAGGCAGATTTAATTATGGACGTGAATTTCCGTTAGCAATCAATAAAAGTAACAATCACATATTTACCCACATGACTTCACTTTGAACTAAGTGACATAACCAAAGAATTCAAAATTACTGATTTCAGAATGTATCACTTCATGAAAAAAGTGTGTTTCCTGTTTATTAAAATAGTTCAATACTTGTAATATTCTTTATATTTTAATATTTAACAACGTTGCTTAACCCTTGTAACGTGTGTGCAGAAATTAGCTTAAAAAGTTAACGAGTCAACGAGCCATTTTACGATGTTTAATGTGTGTACGTTGAGTGTATCTGGAAGAAACAGTTAAGTCTATGTTGAAAATTTTACTTATCTAAAGGAGTTATTATAAATTTAGAACTCACGCAAAACAAAATAAATTAATTAATATAAGAGTTAATAACTTTTAATAAATGTTCATGACCCCCTATAAGATTAGATTAATTTGGAAATTCCAAAATACTGGTGGTGTAAAAGGGACAATGTTGCAATACATGAAAATACTACTTGTTGGGAAGAACAATGCGAACAGTGGTAAGCTGATGGAGACTAATGGCGCAAAGTCGACAAGTGGTGAGACAGTCACAGTTGCATATAGTTCCTTTCTGCAACTGTGTTATTTAATTTCAACAATGGTAATCTGAAGCACGTATCTCTGGGGTGATGTTTACTTGTGCAGCCCACAAGTATCAGTACTTGTATTGTTTAATAATGTGGTAACATAACAGGAGAAAATGATGATTATATGAAAATGTTTGATGATGCCAAAATCTTGTGTTAAGTAGGAAATCAAGAGGATTATAAACAGTTTTACATTATTTAAAAAACTGAGCAAGTTGAGTAAAAAAATGGATGATGGATTTAAATACGATACATTTAATGATACATAGCCTACAAAAAACTAAGTTAAAAACATTAGACTATGTAAAAGAGCTTTGGATGAATATAAATAATAAGCTCTTATCAGAAACTCTACAGAAACTCTTATAAGCGTTGAACTGAAAGTTTTTGTCATACTGGCTAGCATCATATTACCTTTAAAATAAATAGAAGGTACATTTTTTGTTACATACACTAAAAGTGCAATATGCGGCTATGTGAGGTGCCCGAGCATTTAAAAAAAAATAGCCGAAATAAAAGTTTCAAACACCCGAAAAAAACATTCTAAAATGGTGAAATAAAAGTTGTAAGGAAAGACTAATGGCAAAAAGCTGACGAGGATGATTAATTGGTTGATGGCGATAAGGGAACATTAAAATCTAACATTAAACTATGAAAGAATACTGGAAAATGTTGCTTTGCAACCAGAGGTAGATGTCTGGCAAGAATTCGAATGTGAAATAGTGTGTTAAACTCCTTCAGAATTAAAAACAAATTCTTGCGAGTACAAGGTCTCTTTCTGCAACTGTAAATAAGAATAAACAACGTACTTTACTCAGATTCTCTGCTGCGGGAAAGTAATAAATTCTTCATAGCTACTGGTCATCAGGTGTATTTTAAATTTACTCGCAATACATCCCCTTCCATTCAAGAAAGAACTCTACCCACACTCCAGGAAGAAAATAACAGCTACATTTCCATTTATAATGAGTATTAATACATGACATATTTAGTTTCACGAATCTTGATGAGCTAATGCGAGGCCACTTACACAACTTTCATAGTGTCCTATGTGTTTGGACAACATCTGATCTCAGCTTCGTCAACACGGTGGAGGCCGGTAAATTTCCCTATTTAATATATTAATTTGTTAACTGGCCTTTTTCTCTATTGTTTATCTATCTCTTGGAAGATAATCAAACATTTCCCTAGCATAAATCTCATTAGTTTCTCTGGCAATGTGTCTCACCCACTACTATCTTGGTTCTATTATTATTATTATTATTATGCCTCTGTCAGATGATTCAAAAGTTCAGAGGCTGGCCCAAGAACTGGAGTTTAACAGAATTCACAAAAAGAATTCGGAGATAATGAAAATCATCGCTAACTAATAATAAATCGTACGTTGTTTACCGCAGCCCCATGAACCCTAGGAAGCTTGAGTTTGGAAACAGCACTTATTAAGAGGTGATTAAGTGGCTTACTTGATTACTGCTCCCACCTCTCATCACTTCCGTTCAACACCCTTCATCTTACCGCCGCCCGACCATGTCTTCGCGGTGTCCCACGCTAAACAAAAACATGGCAACGCAATTCATATTTATGACAGTCATAAATTTCATCCTCCAAAAATGTATTATCTCATTTTATCAACCTTTAAATTTAATGATTTAAATGGGGGGGGGGGCAGCGGCTGCAGCAGCAGGTGTGATGTTTACAGAATACACTAATCTGATTTAAATGGGATAGTGTAAACACATATACTATGCTTCTTCGATTTTTTTTAGTGTCGTTTAGAGCAAGTTTCAAGTTCTTTCCGACTAGGAAAGGGTATAAACACGAAGATTGTGTATCTCTCAATGTATATACACAAAGAGTTTGTGTTAATCTCTGTTTTACGAACAAAGAATTTTTTACATTAAATGTATTAGGGACTTGTAGTCTTAATTGCGTATGTGCAGTCGATAGGATTTTAAACCTATCTAGCAAACTAGCACCCCGGCCATCTTGGTAAACAAGGAAGTTGCGAGTATTGACTTCAACCTACGAGGAGCCGCAACATTTATCACGTTGTGGAGGCGGCCCGCACACATTACCTGGTGGTCCTCGCTTGCAGTTTCATTCATTACCAGTTCCTGACAGCTGGTTGGAGTCAAGGTCTGCCATGCTTGTCCTTCACACCTTGCGGGAAAACTGCCCGCCACCACCGCCAGTGTGAAGGTTATCTTCAAGAATAAAAGCTACTACCATGGCTCGAGCAATTCACAACAAACCCACAAATTAGAGATGAAACTAACAACTTGATAATTGTCCAGGAAATCCCGAAACATCGGTTAGTTTTATCTTTAATTTGTAGTTTAATTGTGATTCATTTAATCTTCTCAACTAATGATAAAAATGTTGTACAAGATTACCTCCTACTTTTACAATTACTGTAGATTTCAAGGCATACAGTTGCTTTTTCCTTATGACATGATTTTTTTGGGGAGATTCTGAATAAAAGCTGCAAAATTCTGTAAAATTTGGGTGGGTATGTCAAAGAAGGAAATTAGAAGTGAATAAAGGAAAAAGCAAGGTAATGAAAGTATCAATAAATATAGACAAAGAGACTGGATATCAGACTGGAGAGAGTATGGAGGTGAATGTGATCAGATATTTGGAAGTGGATTTGCGAGCGGATGGTACTATAAAAAGGTCGGTGGTATACTGCACGTATAAAAAAAAAACTTATCCATGAATGCAAAAAAAGGAAATGTACGGAAGTATAGTGGTACCAACACTGTTATAAGGGTGTGCAGCAATGAGGAGGCTGGAGGCAGTGGAGATGTGTTCCAGGGCAATGTGTGGGGTGAATATTTGGAAGAGACTTAGGAGTCTGGAGGTGTGGGATCACAAGAAGTATTATACAGAGGGCTTAGGGGGGACGGGGGTGGACATTTAGAGAGAAAAATAGGATGACTGCTACTAGGGCGTATAAATCTGGGGTGGAAAGGAGGAGTGGGAGAGGTTATCCTTGGAGAGGTTGGAGAGAGGGGGCTAAAGGAGGTTTTTATGATTTTACATGCTGGTGTAGTTTGAGCAAAGTAACATTTTAGAAGGGAGTCAGCGAAATCGGTTAGTAGGACTTGGAGCCCTGGAGGTGAAAAGCAGAGTGCCTGCCCTCTACAAGAGGGCTGCAGTTTGGAGGGTCATCTCAGGTCAGTGCCCTTTTTGCAAGACGATGATTGAATGAGTGATTGAGTTCTTTCTTCTTTGTCGGGCCACCCTACATAGCATGAAATACAGTATTAAGTACACAGCATGGACTACCCAGTATGAAGAAAAAATAGTTTCGTAAACTGCCAGTAAATGTTCAACAAGATCAAAATTACCAATTAGCAAATATTTGATTCCACAGAGTGATTCTAGACTACCTTAGAGCCAATCTACACAATACATGCCATAACTCTAAGGTACCGGCACACCAAATTTGAATCACAGCGAGGGGGCTCTTGATCCTAGAAGCCGGAGATACCGTTTCTTTCCTTGGATCTAGTCTGTATGTCTCCCACTCCACTGGCGCTGTATTACTCCAACAGGTTTACCGCTACGCATGAAATAATAATAACTTTGCCTTTAAAAAATCCAGCGAACACTATGATGTGTATCCCCACTCGACAAGGGATACCTAAAAACAGATAATAAGATTAAGTGTGCCTCCCATTATTTCCCAATGTCTCACCTGCACCCATCATAATAAACTTTATAACGGTGTTATTCGGAATGATTAAGTCACATTACCATGGTAGGAAGAAACGGCAACTAACAAAAATTGAAATTTGAAACGAGATGTTTCGGCCGGTGCTAGATCCATTATCAAATCGTGAATAGCTCGATAAGGGCCCGAAACGGACAGAAAAGTCTATCAGTTCCTTATACTTTGAATGTTTGTTGTTAATTAGCATTTAGTTAGTATTCAACGGTACACAAAAGCCCGTTACCCCCCCCTTTCCCCTATCGCCAGTACTCACCCGTTAACAGAAGTCTGTGTCATGAACATGCCCAGGAAGGCCTTAGCAATGCTGTGCCAGATCTGCGTCAACAGCCACTCCGACTGCTCGAAGCAACTGTCCAGAAACTGTTGGGTCTCCTCGTCCATGCCCAGCTGCACGAACCGCTCTCTCACGTCGTCAATCAGTGCCAACTCATCAACCTCATACAGCTGGAAAAGAGAGATTCATACGCTACAATTGAAATAGACAATCCTTGCTATGCACTCGCTTAATAGGCAACTGGCTGCCCTCCTCCCCACACTTAATTCTGCACAGATGCAACTACCACAGCTGTGCCAGGACAGATGTGCAACAATCACAGCTGTCGAGGTGGCTGCAACAATCACACCTGTGTTAGTATGGTGGCAGTAATTAATAGTTCTGTCGGGTACATAATTTACTTGTTACTGCATAAGCTACAGACAACACTTGTGTCAGTGTAGACGCATCAGAGAAATATACACCAGGTCTGCTCATCACCAGCCCAATATGCATCAAGTCTACTCATTATAATAGCTACATACACCAAGTCTATTCAACATCAAAGCAACATACACCAAATCTACCTCTCACCAAGTCTATTCATCACTAAAGTTACAAAATGAGCTCTAATCATCACCAGAGTAACATACACGAAGACTACTCATCGCTAAATCCACAAGCAGCTACATATGCAAAGTATACTCAACACCAAAGCAACATATACCTAGCATTACTCACCGCCAGAACTATATGCACTAAAAGTACTCATTATCCGAGTCAAGTACATTAAGTCGACTCATAAGAACAATATACACCACGTCTACTCATCACCAGAGCTGCATGCACCGAGTCTACTCATCATCAGAACTACATACACAAAGCCTACTCCTGGCCAGAGCTACAAACACGACGTCTACTCATCACCAGAGTTAAATACACCAAGTCTACTCATCACCATAGCAATTTATACCCCAACTCTACTCATTGGAGCAACATACATCAAGTATATTCATCACCAGAGCTACATACATCATGTCTACTATCACCAGAGCTTCATATACCAAGTCTACTCCAGAGCTACATAACTCACCACAGCTACAAATATCAAGAGGACCCCGTGATATACACGCCTCAATAGCACACAAACAAACAGCTTTTAAAAATGCGTGTTTACCCTCGGCCACCCCAACAAGAGGAGCAAAAAGAAGTAAAATGTGTTCGAGTCTTTGAATGGATCTGTTGATTACGTGAACCAGAAGAGAAGGTCTGGAGGTGGGAACTGGTGCAGCCTCAGTTTCCCACAGCAGGAGCACCATCAACACCACATCTAGCACCACCACCAATAACAGTAGCGCTAAGCGCTACCACCAACGGAAACAGCACCACTAAACAAAGCAACAGAAACATTAATAATACCACGAACAGGAGCATCACCAGACAACAACAGAATAGCACCAGCACCGCCACAACCACTATCACCATGAGCACCACTAGCAGCGATGGCAGTATTGGTATGCAACATTCCCCAAGCCTACCTACGCGGAAATACCCTTTTATTAAGGTTCATTTGCAACATTATGATCCCCCGCCTTCCCTTTCCCTATATCCCTTTAAGCCAATCCCCCCTTTTTTCCCCTCCTCCCTCCCTCCCCTCTCTTCTACCTTTGATGCTGCTCGGTTTTGATTAAGGACCATTTTCAACCGCTTCCCAAACGAAGGATATAATTTCTGTCCCATTGGCTGCTTGGTATTTAGTCCCTCATATCCTCGACTCATTTACAATCAATCGAGTCTTCCAGAACGAAGGGGTTTAGAAATTTCTTCTCCATATAATGGGATCAATAGATACATAAAATCACTTACCGATTGCTGAATCAATCGATAAGTAACCTCCACTGGGAACTCGGGCGTTTATGACCATGTTTATGAAGTCACAACTGTGGAACGATGGACGGTGGAGAAAGGGCAAATTCATAAAAAAAAATATTTTCAATTATCTCCAACAAATATTTTAAAATTCTTCAGCCCAGCGCCTGAGAGATGCACATCAGCACATCACTGCCCTCAAATCTCTTAACTAATAATGAAATAAAACAATTTCCAAATGCAAATATAACAAAACAACACACAACGCTATGGTAATAAAGTCTTTCGATTTTCATTTAACAAACAGTAATATTAGGCATAACACGCACAGTTAATATAACTTTTCAGTGGTACCGTGAATTTTGAAACTAACTCTTTTGTACATCAATCACAATGCATGCCACACCTTCCCTCTCTGCAACACAACTACGGTGCAGGCCACACCTTTCCTTTCCTGCAACACAGCTATAGTGCAAGCCACATCTCTATGCTACACAGGCTATGAGTGGTCACACCTATGTATCCTCTGCAACACAGCCATAGTGCAGACCATACTTTACCTCATTTAACACAACAAGAGCGCAGGCCATATCTTCCCCTCGTGGAAGACACTCCTTCCCACCTTCCCTGCAACACAGCCTCGCCTTTCGACCTGTGACACTGGAACATCTGGCCCAGCAGCAGTCAAACTCGACACAAACAATGCACATTCATGACAAATTTATCACCTTTCTTTTTGCCAGACGTTGTGTTCTCCCAGTCAATTCCCTGGCTCCTGTCCTACCCCCGTCACCTCTAATATTTATCCTTGACCGTCTATAAATCTACCCATCTCCCTCTCTTTCCCTATAGCCCCCCTTTCCTCTCACTATGTAGCCCTCCCTCTCCCTATCCTATCCTTCCCTCCAACCCTTCCTCTTCCCATGCTTCCCTCTCATCAACCCTCCCTCCTTCGGCTTGAATGACCTGTTGCCCCTGCTATGTGCAGAGAAGAGGGGCGCGATAAATGCTTCCCTGGCAACATCAATCACAAGTAAGAGGCAGAGTCAGTAGTTTGCAACATTCATTACGGTGAAGAATTAGACACATGTGCAACGTCTGGGTATCTTTATTTGTAGACGTTTCGTCATCCAGTGATTTTATCAATAGGACATAATGGAAAGAATGTAAAGCTATATACAAAAGATGAGAAAATCAGTCCCTCAACCTTGGAGTTGAAGACTACCGTAGTCCTGAAGACTACCGTAGTCCTGAAGACTACCGTAGTCCTGAAGACTACCGTAGTCCTGAAGACTACGTAGTCCTGAAGACTACGTAGTCCTGAAGACTACCGTAGTCCTGAAGACTACCGTAGTCCTGAAGACTACCGTAGTCCTGAAGACTACCGTAGTCCTGAAGACTACCGTAGTCCTGAAGACTACCGTAGTCCTGAGACTACGTAGTCCTGAAGACTACCGTAGTCCTGAAGACTACCGTAGTCCTGAAGACTACCGTAGTCCTGAAGACTACCGTAGTCCTGAAGACTACCGTAGTCCTGAAGACTACCGTAGTCCTGAAGACTACGTTGTTCTTTACAAACTCCAAGACTGAGGGAGTGATTACCTCATCTTTTATAGCTCTGCATCTTTATCGTATGTCCTTGTATCGTATTAACAAAGCCACTGGACGGCTATACGTCTACAAATAAAGATTCCCAGATGTTGCACATGTGTCTAATTATTCATCTTGTTACTATTATATACCATTCATATACAATATTCATTACGGTGTAACTTTCCTTCTCATCCTCACCTCTTTACTCGTTGCTTCTTCATCCTTCCATCATCCATTTCTCCTTCCCTGTCATCAGCAACAACTCATCCTCCTCTTTTCATAACTAAGTCTGCTTCCTTAATTTCAACACCATGTGACCCACCCTGCGTGATGCCATATGACAGGGAAACATAACTAGTTTTTGTTCCCACTCTGTAACTGTCGTAGAAAATATGGCAGCAGCACACTGGTGATGTATCTGATTTTGCCCCAGAAAAAAAAAAGTAAGTCACCGTTACTTCCCTCTTATTTAAGTAACATTTGTCTTCCTCTTCAACTCTTCAATTGATAAATTTCACTCTTCCTCCTTTTCACTTATTTGTTCGGTAACTTGTGGTTATATTTTCTTGATATTTTATTCACTTCCTTCTGTTCTACCTATTTTTTTTTCTTAGTTGCTTCTCCTCTTCCCAATTCTCCTCGACTATTCTTTTTTTGTCTACTATTTAGCCTGTTGTTGCTTCTAACATTTTTTCCACTGAACTCCTTGTCCTGTCATTTTCGTTCAGCCCTTCTTTATCCTCCTCTTCCTGTTCCTCCTGCTCTTCCTTTCTTTACTTTAATCCTCTTCTGAAATCCCTCTCTATCGTTGCTCTTTTCCCTCTTCCTATTTTACATATTTTTCGCTTTCGCGTCATTCCTTTCCATTACCTCCCACTTTCCTAGTCCCTCTTCCTCTCCCCATCACCATCCCCTCTTCCAGCATTTCCACCACCAGTACCCCCTTTTCCCAACACCACCACCACTCCTTTGTTATAATACCACCCCTTTCCTTAGCACCACCACCCCCTTACCCCAGGTCTACCATCATCCCGTTCCCCAGCACCACCTATCCTAGCCAACCCCCTCACTTTCTTACCCGAGACTATACTTCCAGCACCACCAGCCCCTTCATACAACCACTACTTCCTTCCTCAGCACTATATCCTACGCCCCCCCTCTCACCATGACTTCCATCTCCTCTTTACAAGGTTAGGTAAGATTCGTCAGGAGACGGGTCAAGTGTTTCCAAACGCGGATCTTAGTCACTGGAGCTTCTGGTCATATGACTAAGCCTTTTGCTGGCATACCGGTCCACCCCTTTAAAAAATAACATTAGATAATTAATTTCTTTACAAAAGCAACTGTTTTGCAAGGTCTTAGTCATACAGAGATGGTAAGTGTTCTTCCCACAAGATATGGCGAACCTCGACAGTGTTTAGTGTCGGAACAACAGTATTAAAATCAAGAGAGCATATCATCAAATTTTTTTGTAGAATATTTTCGAAGTTACGCTGAGTCAAAAAAATTATTCTAACTATTGTGTGTTAGTGGCTCTGAGGATTATCTTTCCCACGGCCCGGTCTCTGCCCAGGCCTCCTAAGCTGGAAAAGAAATACTACAGAATTGAGAACTATTAAGAAGCAAAAAGAGAAAGTAAAGGCATGTCTATACTTACAGTAAGTACAGGAGAAGTTTGTAACATTTGCCCGCCGTCCAACGTGTTCATGAGACAGTAAAGATAAGCAAT